AAAGGCAGAAATCAGGGTTAAAAGCACTAAACAAGCATACTGAGAGACATTAGGTGATGAACAGCTGATATATATCAACATAACTAAATACATAAAATAAGAGTGATTAAAAATGTAAAAAGATCTTGATTTAAAATGTAAATTGTACATACAAAGGAGACAAGATGACAGAAAAATTGAATAATGTGAACATGAAACTGGTTTAATTCATATATAGAAAAACCTTTCATCTGTCAAGTAGAATTTTTTCCTATGTCCACATACACAAAAATATTTCACTCAAGAAAACTTTAAAATTTTTGTAAAAGTAGATGATATAGGCTACATTATGTGATAATTTAAAAAACATACCTGAATAGATATTGGATCAAAGAGGAAATTAAAAGGAAAATTACAAATTATCTCAAAAGCAATGAAAAAGAGAATATTTCATATCAAAACCAATGGGACACAGAGAAAGCCGTATCCAAGAAATACTTGTGGCTTAAAAGTCTACAAAGGAAGTATTTGTTTTACGAAATTAGAAAAAGAACAAAGTGACAAGATGGAATTAATAAAGACTGAAATTAATAGAAAACAAAGAATAGAGACACTGATTAATCCTTCACAACTGTGATAAAGAAAAAACAGCAAACAAAAATAGGCAAAATAAGGAATGAGAAAGGGAATATTATTGCAGATACAGAAGGATGAGAAGAATTGAAAACTAATACTATATTGCAAGTCTGAGGCAGCAAATTTTAGAACCTAGAGGAAATGGATGATTGCTTGTAAAATGTTTTTTAAAAAGCTGATCTATGAAAAAGAAAACTTGAACTTGAGCAATTACCATAGAAGATTTTTTTTAAGATTAAAGATCTACCATAGAAAAGTGTACAGCTGAGTTTTATCAAGTCCTTAAAATTTAGTATTATTTGAACTATTCTGTGACCATAGAGTGAAAATATACAGCTCCATAGTTTGTTTTAAATGTAATTGTAATTACAAAACATTATTTAAAATAGTATTAAAAATTAAACAGTATTAGATATAGACACATTAGCAATGTGTCTAAATGCTCAAGTAGAGAACACATTCCCAGGATGCAATAATGGTCCACGCTCAGGAAGTCAGCCAGCTTTATTCATAACACCAACAAAGGGGGAAAAGGGAAGGATATTTTTCAATACATGCTGAAAAGACATTTAATTAAATACAGCAGACATTCTTAATAAAACGCCTGAAAATAGAAATAGAAAATAGCAGCCGGGCTCGGTGGCTCAGCCTGTAATCCCGCACCTTTGGGAGGCTGAGGTGAGTGGATTGCCTGAGCCCGCGGGTTCGAGACCCGCCTGGGCAACTTGGCAAGACCTCATCTCTACAATAAATCAAAAAAATTAGCCGGGCATGGTAGCGTGCGCCTGTAGTTCCAGCTACTCGGAAGGCTGAGGCGGAAGGATCGCCGGAGCCCAGCAGGTCGAGGCTGTGGTGGCTGGGAGCGGCCACTGCACTCCAGTCTGGGCGACAGAGTGAGACTCTAATTAAAAAAAAAAAAAAAAAAGGAAATAGTTCTTTAAATAAAATAAAGACTACTTCCCCAAAACCAACAGCATATCTTTGCTTAAGTGACAAAACACTAAAAGCATTTTAATATCAAGAATTAGGCCATGATGCTCCCCCATCACCATAATTGGAGAGTCTTATAAACGCATTATCACCAGCAAAAAAAAAATTTTTTTTAATATTTTGAATGAATACCTTCACCACTGCGGGTTAGAGCTAAGGAAACCCGCACTTACTAAAACTGCTCCTGGAAAGGCCAACTGGCACAGCCTTTGTGGTGAGCAACTGGGAGATGTGAACCAAAAGCCTCGAAAAGTGCATTGTGATCCAGCAACATAACTTCATAGTTTAGCCAAAGGTCATAATCGTGGATGTGGACACAAAGATTTAGCTACAACATTATGTGTTACTGCATTGTTTATATTTGTAAAACATTAAAAGTAATATCCTAATATCATTTCTAAGTATCCACTAAAGGATTTGGTGAACAAACTTCGCTTGGACTACATGAAGGCGTTTTTGTGAATGAGGCTCATGCCACTCAGGCCCTCTCCAGCAACCAGTTTTTGCACACTTGGCCTCTGCTAGAATTCTGCCCAGCACTCTCTTCCCCATTTCCACACCCAACTTTTAACTGCCTTCCAGCCTGTCCCACTGGATACCTTGTCTACTGCCCCACCAAGTGTCACTTCCCACCTGGTTTCTTCCACCCCTCTGTCTGAGACACCCAGCCTGCCTCTCCCCACCCTGACGACTGATTCGTATATCCTGAGATTCAGGCACACAAGTATATCTCCTGAACTAAGGCCACAGAACCAGCAAATATGAGGGGCGTGGCAGTTATCTCTGGGCACTTGTGGGCCCAGCCATGTGCTAGGACACAAGGAAAAGCCCAGGATGAGCTTGTGACTCAAAGAAACAAGGTTGACATGCCTACGTGAGTTCAGTGGCCTGTCTTACTGCGTTTTGATGAAGTAACCTCTGAATATAGGGTGTCAGAGCAGTGAAGTGTGAATGACACTGACCGACGACAGCCTGTAATTTTGTAACTCTACTATAAACTAAAATGACAGACCTGATATCAAGCAATGATTGCATACCTTCTTGGAATTCTCTGGCATTTTCCCTCAGCATCTCTACGATCTAGTTTCCTAATGCTGATATTTTCTTAATGCCCAGTTTTATGAGGTTTGTTTTTTTTCTGTGGATTTGACATGGAAGTATCACTTGGTCTCTTAAAAAAAAAAATCACACAAGAAAATAACCTAATGCAACTTTAGAACTGCCCCAAGACTGAAAATCACAGCGTACCTCATTCCAACCCAGACTTTGCCTGCTGACCCCCAGAGGGAAGCTTGATCAAAAAAGACTCAAACCTGCCTGAGGAGGCAGGCCTGGTGCTGTTTGTTTTGTCATAAAAGTAAAAGCCAGAAGGCAGTCTCATTCCTAAAAGGCAGAAGCATCCAGAGCTCCAAGCCGTGTGAGTCACAAGCCCTCACCAGAGACAGCCCGCCCCCTGCAGGCCCAGCCTCCTTCTACACACACAGCCACAATATCATGATCAGAAAAACTGTCTCACCTCCCTGTTCATGGGTCTAGCACCTACCTTCTGTCCTGCACAGAGGGTCAGAACTGATCCTTGAGGCTCTCGGGCCAAAATTGCCTGTAAACTAGCCAAGCCCCTTACCTGGCTCCCAGGCTGCTGCTTTCTAGGCAGTAGCCTAGAACATGAAGGCTGATGAACATGTGCAGAAGGTAGGAGGACACAGGCTGCCAGCTCAGGCCTCACTAGCAGACAGAGGGCTGCCCAGCTGGACCACAGGGACTTCATGCAGAGCCTCTAGCCCACTCTCTCGTCCTATGTAACCTCACACACCTGGCTCTGTTCTGAGCTGCCAGTATGCCCTTCCCCAACCCAAGTACAACAGGGATGCACACCAGGCAAAGGCTCTTGTCGCCCCCTGCCAAGTCCATAGGGGAGAAAGTATTACATACAGGGAAACAGAGCAGCAGTGCTCTTTTACTACCAATTTGTACAGAGCACAGGGCCTAATTGTTTACTTTCTACAAGTTCCCTCTGTGAGACCAGAACTTCTTCCTAGAATTCTAATTGTACGACATCTAAATGGCATGACCAGCATGTCTGAGTGGCATCCCTGCAGGACTTCTACTTTCTCTAATAAATTCTGGAGTCACAACTCAGAGAATACCTCTGTGAGCAGCATCCCACAGAGGCTCCCAACAAACTGACGCAAAGAAAAATGAATTATCAGTAGACAATTCCACCACTTAACATTTCACTATTGAAAGTTCTCTCCCTCCTCCCCCGGGGGGGGGCTATGTATTGAGAAGGTGGGCTCCCCATTGGGAGAGGAGGTTGTCTCTGAGCAAACAGAGTGATGTTTCAGCTCTGCAGACCTCCCTGGGAAGCCCCAGCACCACCCCGCAGGTCCTCGCTGTGCCATCATGGCAGCTCACCAAGAAGGAGGAGTGATTCAGACATTCACTCCTATCCCACCACTCCCTCTCCCAGGAAGCTGGGTGCCTGCCTATAACATTTCCGAACAGCACCCACTTTGCCCCTGCCCCTTGGCCGTCATCTCTCTTCCAGTCAGCCCCTCCACTGCGGTCTCCACCTGCACATACAGATGCCTGTGGCTTCCAGCCCCCCACCTGGAAGGCCCTTACAAGGATTCCCACTCTGTGTTGTAGGTGATCACAGAAGCCAGTGCTGGCCAGGGCCAGCACCTCATCCGCACACCCTTTGCGGGAGTGGACGATTTCTTCATTCCCCCAACAAACCTCATCATCAACCACATCAGGTGAGACTGGCCCAAGATGCCTCTACAGTGCTCCACACTCCAGCTAGGCCCTGCATGGGGTGGCTTTGCCCAGGGGGAGGTAGGGGAGGGAACCTTTCTCTATCTCCCTCAATCCTCCTATGCTGGTTTTAGACCCCATAAGGAAGGGACAGAAAAATGGACCCATCTCTAGTAAAGCAGACCCATAGCCTAGTCCTCACTGCTTAGGGTCAGTAACTCTGTTATAGCTGAGGAGGGCTTCAGGGGCCCAGTGAGGTCAGGAGTCTCGTCCTCAAGATAAGGACATCAGAAGAAAGAAGGAAACAACATTGGTAAACTGAGCACCCTCTACTTGCTAGACACACAAATCGATGAGAGGTGGTCTTAATCCTTATTTTGCAGATGGGGAAACAGGAGCAGAGAAGTTAAGACACTGACCAAGGTCACACAGCCAGGAATTGGCAGAGTCAGACTAAATGCAAAGCCAAATTTTCTTTCAGTGCCCCGTTCCTCCTCACTCCTGGCTAACCCCAGCCCATGACTCCTCTCAAAGCCCGCAGAGCTTCTGTGTGCCATCCGAAATAACAACCTAATAATAACAGCCATGGTCTCAACTGCAGGCTTCATCCCAGCCTGGCCATTCCCCCTCCCTGTTTATATCAGAGAACCTCCAACATTTTCTGTGAAGTTGCCGCTGCCAGAAGACCAAGCCTGCCCACTAAGTCATCAGAACCCCAAATGTCTTACAGCACTATTCATGCCTTTCTCCAACCTGCCGTCAAGCACCTCTCTCCAGGAACAAATGATTCATTTCTGTACCCTAGTGCTCAAGACTCGCCCATTTACCCTTGCCCACGGAAGAAAAACACTTTACTGCCAAGAGTGCCTGTGCAAGAGCCTGTAAGAGCGTGTTAAATGGCAAAACCCTCACAAAGCAGCTGAATTCAGCTGGGGGTTGTACAAACTCAGAGGCTCTACAGCTCCTGTGTGTGGGTTTTACATTAAAATCCCTTACAAGAGTGGGCTTTTCTTTCTCGCTCTTCCTATACTCCGGCTCCTTAACGATGCTTTAAAGATGTGCCCTGGAGGGAGGGAACATTTTCCCCCACTCTGAAGTACAGTTTTTCAAGAGAAAATTATGGGAGAGATTGTTTTCTGTTCCTGCAGGTGTACACAGTGCCAAAAGGCCTCTATGAGCAAGGGATTTAGACACTCCTGCCTGGAGTCAGCCTTTCCTGCACTTGCAAGCAGCCTCCAAAGAGGAATCGCAGAAAGTCCAGATGTGAGCAACCACCACATACCTGAGCTCCTCAGCTAAGGTCCTTCTTAGATCTGATGCTCCCGACAACCCTAGGAAGGCACTGCCCGTGTTAGAGTCGCGGAGGCTCAGATAGGCTGGCCCAGGCTCCCCAGCTAGCAGGGTGGTGTGGCAGCACCAGGCCATCTGGCTCCAAAGGAAAAAGCTGTCCTCTGCCCAAGGTTCTTCCTACACGCATCATCAGTGCGGCCAGAGAAGAACCTGTCCTGCACATTCCCCTCCCGGGGAAGGCCGTGCTGATAAGAAGTCTGTACTTGGTTCAGCTGTATCTGCATCCTCAAATCCTAACCTGCCAGTTAGTCTGGAAAATAGCAAGGATGTAGGCTCTCCAGTGCTGTCCTCACAGCAGGCAGAGGTAGGGCAGGCACTTCTTGCCCTTTTCCTCCACGCTTACCTTCCAGACACAGGCCCATGGCTTCCCAACTGGTATGGACCTCAGGGAAACAATCAAGGCATCCCCAAGGGAGACGCTCTTGAAAACCCTCTCCCCCTCCTCCTCTACCATCTCTAAAGAGCAGGGCATGTTACAAGTATATTCACTGAAGGATTAGGATAAAAGGAAAACAGAACCTGGCATTAGGCTGAATGACAGGTTCCCTAGCCCTCGAGGAGGCCTCTCAACCTCTGACCTCAGTTCTTTCCCTCCCAGGTTCGGCTTCATCTTCAACAGGTCTGAGCCCGCAGTCCACAAAGTGGATCTGGAAACCCTGACACTCCTCAAGAACATCAGCCTGCAGCACCACGGCTGTGTGCCCCAGGCCATGGCGCACACCCACCTGGGCGGCTACTTGTTCATCCAGTGCCAACCAGACAGCACTGCCTCTGCCACCCGCCAGCTGCTTGTGGACAGCGTCACAGACTCCGTGATGGGCCCCAACGGTGACGTGACAGGCACCCCACACACATCCCCCGATGGGCGCTTCGTGGTCAGCGCTGCTGCTGACAGCCCCTGGCTGCATGTGCAGGAGATCACAGTGAGAGGGGAGATCCGGAGCCTGTATGACGTGAACATAAACCCAGGCATCTCAGACTTGGCCTTCCAGCGCTCCTTCACCCAAGGCAATCGGTATGACATCTATGCTACTCTGGACATGGAGCCAGACCTGCTGTTCCTGGAGCTGTCCACGGGGAAGACAGGCATGCTGAAGAACTTGAAGGAGCCGCCCACGGGGCCAGCCCAGCCCTGGGGAGCACCCTGCAGGATCATGAGGGACAGTGGGCTGTTTGGACAGTACCTCCTCACGCTGGCCCAAGATTCACTCTTTATCATCAACGGGAGGCAAAACACACTGCGGTGTGAGGTGTCGGGCATAAAGGGAGGCACCACAGTGGCGTGGGTGGGCGAGGTATGAAGAGCCCAGAGCACAGCCCCTGGGCCAGGGAGCACCACGAGTCCTGACACCGCAGCCCCAAGCAGGCGCACTGTACATTTTTACAGACAAAAGCAAAAACCTGTATTCGCTTTGTGGTTCAACACTGGTCTCCTTGCAAGTTTCCTAGTATAAGGTATGCGCTGCTACCAAGATCGGGGTTTTTTCGTTAGGAGGTATGATTTATGCTACAACGAGAACACCTGCTGCTGTGTAAAGGATCATTTCTGTGCCGAGCTGCACACCACGTTACCTGGGGATGCCGAGGAACCAAAAGATTCTGCTTTCCAGGCTGACACTTGTGTCAGTTGCCTTCACCTAGTCATTGTTGCTCAACTGCCAGACCGCACCCCAGTGGAGTGGCCTGGAAGCAGGGGCTGCCCGGGAGCAGGGGTTCTCCCTCCAGGAGCGAAAGCCCGCCTGCCCTTGCTCAGGCCGCGTTTTCTCCTTCACTGCTGCTTCTTGCTTTTCTTTCCATTTGACTCGTAAGCCTGAGAGAGAGCCAACAAGACTTACTGCATCTGGGGGGATGGGAAAAATCACTCACTTTATTTTGGAAATTTTTGATTAAAAAATAATTTTTTATAATCTCAAACGCTAGTAAGCAGAAAATGCTCTCCGAGGTCCAGCTGTATTCCTCCCTGCCTTGGGCCAGGTCTCTGGAGGTCACAACCCCACATTTCACAGCCAGAAAGAAACAGTGGTCATCCAAGATTGCCTCTAAATGATTGCCGTCCCTGTTTTTCTAAGTACAGACCAGGCCCCCATGTTGGTAAAGACTCAGTTCTGCGTTGGACCCTAAGAGGCCGGGACAAGACCTGTGTGCCTGCTTCTCACCACAGAGGGGGGACATTTCATTAGCCAGGTCCAGTAACCCAGATTCAGGGCAGACTGGGCTTGCCTGGCAAGGTAGGGGCAGCCTCCAGGCTCAATGCAGAAACCCCACGGAAACAAGTGGGTCCAGGAGGGTTTCTAAAGTTATCCCTTTCAAAAACAGGTTTCTCCTCTGCCTGTTGCCTGTCCACTCAGCTCTGGCATGCATCCCCCATCAGCATTGCATAGAGAGCACATTTCAGCAAGGATTCTCTCACATATGTGCCCTCACATACACACATTCCAAAGCCCAGAATCAGAAGGCTGTGGACTGGCACTGCTGCATCATTCCCAAATGTCTCAGGCTCTGGTGACTCTCAGGTGGGCATCAAAGAAGTACAAGCCAATCGGCCCTGTGGAGACCACCTAGGTCAGAGACGCTCAGCAAAAAAAGAGACTCCCTTGGGTTCTTGGAGCACTCCTTCCCTCTCTCTCATGTCAGTGGCCAAAATGCATGTGCTTTCTAGTTTGAAGGATCATTTTGCAAACCGGAGAGAGATGGGGGAGGTGGTGCCATCACAGACAACTTATTCATCTGCCGACACAGACATCAGTTTCTTTGGCAGCTGAGACTGACCCCTTTAACAGAGAGGAAGACATGGACTCTGCATCACTCTGGATCCACACAGTTCCTTTTCTCCCACCTGGCTGCCCAACCCCTCCGTATCCCCTCCCAAGGTTTCCTGAGATCAGTCACCTCTCTAGTATGTCTCATGTATCCTCATCCACCAAACACCTGGCCCCTGCAACTCCCAGGAGTGTACCCAGACATGTACGTTCAGGTTTTAGAATTTTTTAAAGACAAGCTACGTAGATTAGGTTGAGGAAACAGACCTCAAAAACCTAATATGCAGTTTCACAATTGCTGGTTGGATGGATAACACATCTCGTCCGTTTTTTCGCCCCTTCCTCAAAATCTTGATACATTTACTTCCCCCATTTTTATCACTGAAATTCTTCAACCTTCATGAGCTTCTCCTTTTGGTAAAATTGTTTAACTTGTGTCAGCCCCTAATAGAAAAAGAGTCTCTGAACCTAAAGGAAGAAGAGTCCCACCAACTACCAGGCCAAAAAAGCAGCCCCTCTAGGTCACAGAATCCCTAACTAAACAACCCGGTCCAAACTGGTCTTTTAAAAAATTGGGAGTGATGGAGTTGACTTCTGCAGCATCTATTTCTTTCCCACTATGCCTGCCATCCCAAAGTGTATCTGAAAAGCATATTTGCCCTTCACTGTCCTCACAGAGCAGTTCCTGGGGACAGCCAGCTCAGGTCTTGCTGCCAGCATGCTGGACACAGAAAATCACAGGCCTGGGGCCTAGGCCAGAGCTTCAGGAGTGCAGGCCCAGAAGGCAGTCACAAATGCCAGAGGGTAGATGCTTAGTGGTGAAATCAGTAGGGCTGCTTAGGTGGGAGGCAGGGAAAGACACCTGCCCTTCCTACCACACTTCAGCCCCAGAAGAGGCTTATGGAACACAGTCCGGAAGCCACTGGTGGGAGACATATCCATAGTGATATCACTATGGATATGTCTCCCAGGAAATCCTTACAATGAATACACAGGGTCAATTCACAACTAATATTTGGCATTGTGAAAGAAGTATTGACTTTACTGAGAAAATCATCAGAAAAGCTACTTACGTTAACTCCCTCAGTGATTTTGAAATAAAATTAATTTCACAAAAATTCAACAGGTTTTTTTTTTTTTCCAAAATGACAAACACGAATAATCTACACCTGTGGTGACAGTAAGTCTTTGAAATGGAGACCCTCATTCTCCTGCTCAAGCGGGTATTGGATGGGTCCAGAAGCCCACCCAGCCTCCCTCAAATGGATGGTAGGGACTTTCAACTTCTGGATGACCACATGAACCTCCTGCACAAGCAGGCCTGAGAGTGGGGTACCCCCAACGTGGCCAAAGTCATCAGCCCAGCCTCCGCAATACTGTCCCAGCCACCCCTGTCTGCACCTGGCCCAGGCATATTTCTTCAGTCTCCAAGCCATTTAAGTGTCCTGCTACTTTCCCAAGCCCCAGATTGGGGAAGAATCTGGAAGAGCCCTGTAAATCTTGATTGGGGCCAACTGCTAATTCCAAGTTTCAGGTACTTTGACCTAGAGATAGCATCACCAGAGACAGAAATGCAATCCCTACAATTCCCACCCCAGCCCAGCCATCTCCCCAGCTCCAACTGTGCAGACAAGGGCTCCCAACTCCAGGTAGGCACTCTGGAAGATGATTTCCAACCCCAGATAAGGCTGAGAACTTCCTGCTGCCATAGAGATGCAACTGCTAAGGCTTCATTGAGGAAAGCAGCCAGGAGTTGGCTTTGTATGGCCACATCTTCTTGTTTTCTGTTGACCAATAACCTGTGAACTAAAGAAGATTTCAGAACTGAGATGTGAAACAGATTCATTCTGGATATATTTTTCTACAAGGGGCTTAAAAAGTATAGTTGATTCATTTTTCACAATGTGTTTCATTCAAATACCACAGTCTATCTCTCTCTTGCTCTCAAGTGCTCTGTTTCCCTGCCTCTGCCTCTCCCTCTCCCTCTCTCTCTTTCCCAGTCCTGCTTTCCAGAAGCAACCCTCCAGGAGAATTGACACTACTCCCACCTCCTTCCTATGCATCCACCAATCTACCTCACATTCTCCTCCCCTGCACCCAGCACTACCAGAATACTGCCCCCCAGCCAGGAGGTCGGATAGATGATGGCGGAAGATCACAGTGCTGCCACGGAAGCCCTCTGATGGCCTCCTCTGCCCAGGACCCCAGGTCTTACTCCAAGTGCAGTCAAAACCCATTAGGACATAGCCCCTTGCTGCCCAGAATCATGCAGCCACCCTAGCTTGCAGACCTTTGGAGTTAGGTGGCCAAGACTAGAGAGTGCTTGCTCAGAACTGTCAGGGAAGTCAGATATGGTCCAACAGGTATACAGAGACCACGACATCTCAGCCGAGCCTCGTCTCTTAGAGGGCACAAGCTCCCCAACGTCCCTCTATTCCCATTTTATGCTCTGCCTTTCCTGGTCCATTCCTATGTCTACGACCTACTGCTTATGAGCCATTCCACAATAGCTCCTACCATCCAAGAAGCAGCTGCCCTGACCTGCCTTTGCCCATGCTGCTTTCCTGCTTTGGGGCACAAGTGAGACTTACTCACAGCTCAGATGCTACTATCTGCTCCCAGACTGGTATAGAGGCAAAGCAGTTTTGCTTAAGAAAGTCTGTAACTGCCTCGGCTTCTCTCCAAAATCATAGAGATCATAACACAGCGATGCTTAAAAAATTCAAGGGAAAAAAATACAGTGCCTATCCTCAGAGTGTAACCATAAGACCCCAAGTAGCCAATGGAATGCAACCCGCTCCCTGCTTTTGTCTACACCAGATGACCTGCCAAGTCACTTGAGGATGTGAGCATCTTACCTGAACCTGCAGGCTTTAGTTGGCAAATACTCAGCAAATACTGAGACAATAAGCTCTGTTTTGTGCATCCACACCTTCCCCTGGAGTTGTGGGCAGTGAGTGGGGAAGCCTAATTAACTAAACACAGTATGTGAAATTATGGAGAGTGGGGATTATCCTCCAAAATACCCAGAGAGGCTTCTTTAGCCAGCACCTGTGTTTAGCGTGTACATTTTTTTTTTTTTTTGACAAAGCCACAATTCACACAACCCTTCTTTCCAAGCTCACTTTTGCTGATATGGAACCAGCCTTTTCCCATGTAGCCCCAAAGAACCCAGGGCTTGTGTGGGCTCAGCCTGCACCCCACAAAGCAATAACTGTTCACTTGCCCCCACGCCAAACTTGGTGACCCATGACTTTCCACATGTCACCACAGCAGGCTCAAAAGATGCTGTCCTTTGGCGGCACCCTCTTCAAGATCAAAGTTTTGTTTCTGAGTAAAGGGGATCCGTGTTGGCTACTTGTGAGGCAAAAGCTCTAAAATGAAGAAATGTCCTCAGTCTAAACCTCCATCCACTGCCCAGCATGACCTCTGCCATAGGTTGAAGAGTCACCAGACCCTTCCTACTTGAGAGAGGTGAGGGAAGCAGGTCTGCAAGCTGCCCAGCCAAGATCCACAGCACCCCACGGGGTGGTGCTGCCTGGCCCACTTCCTCACTGCCGTGGCCGGCCGGCACCCCCACCACCATCCCTCCTGGCCTGGTCCTGTCACGTCCTTCCTACCCCTGCCCAAATCGGCCCCCTGCCCCACTGCTTGCGCTTTCTGAAGGCTGTGTGAGATGCTCAAGCAAAGCTGGGCATGGAGTTTTGCTGGAGCGGTCACACACACTGTTTCATGCTGTAGTGTAGTTGAGTGACCCTCAGGATGTGAAGCCACATACACCATTTGTCCCGTTAAGATTCTCATCCTTTCCACCTCAGAAAACTTCCAGATCTCTTCTGTCAAGGCAGATTATATTATTTTGAGCAGTTGTGTAGACTCCGAAATATATTTTCTGTAATCACCAATATTTCGCAAAAGGTCTCCTGTAATTACTACACATGTGAATTTTTCCTTATTTGTAAAATATATATAAATTATTTTTAATACATCAACTTTAGTAGAAATTTGTACCAACACAGTAACGGTATGTGGCATTTGAAATAAGTTTGTGTTTACTTTGATGTATTACACAGTATTGAACACACGGTGTATTTGCAGTACCACTTGGTATAAAGATGACTCACAAACTATCATAAAGTATTGTCACTGTAAATG